CATCCCAGCTTTGCTGTTTAATTAGGCTATTTTTATAGTAAATTATCTGCATCAAACTTGACACCATGGTTGAATTTTGATTGATAAAAGTGGTAAAGTTCATTTTCTTTTTTTTTTCAGCTAAGATTTATAACACAGTTTGCTCATGTTTTATGAATTAATTCAACTGGTTGAAATTAAATTTTCAACATTTAAACCAAGCACTGTTTTGGATCATCATTAATTCATTTATTGCCTTTTATTTCCACAATTTCCGCTCCCTCTAAAATGAACCTAATCAATGTAATTAAAGTTGTAATGTTGTAGATCAAAGACAAAGGATAGAAGTTTAATATAAGTCAGTTTTAAGAAGCACTTTATGTTTCTTTTTTTTTTTATTTAGACAATGATTTTCTAACTTGAGAACAGAAAAAGAAATCAAGTCGGGTAAAACAATTTGTCAAACTAATTTTTCTTTTTCACATGTAGAAAATGATCAAAGGTAAATTTTAAGACAGTGCAGAAACCCTGGGGTCTTTTAAGTTCACAAGAGCCAAATGCTTTCACACTTCAGAATGTAAAATATCAGGAAAACAACAAACACATTTAGCAAAAAAAACAAAAATATATATCCTAAAATAAAGCAGCAAGAACATTTAAACAACAGCTTAGACAATATCTATTAATCTTTCACATCTCTCTCACATCTTGTCACTGAGTTGCATATTAAGGGTCACTTTTTCACAACGGTCATCAGTACCTACTGCAGCTACATACTATACACCAGTATGCTTGATAAAGAGTCATTGCCTTCGAGAGGAGACTCAGAGATTGCTCGACAGTGCCTCTTGAACACCTTTTAAAAGACACTTGACACCAAAAAAAGATTAACTCCACAAGACGGCCACGGCAATAAGGACGCCAACATCGATACTGGGCTATGTCAAGAGTTACAAATATATTTTCCCACAGTTAACCCGTCACCGTAGATAGCTAAGCATGTTGACAAGGAGAAGATAGGACAATGTGCGCACAGGGAGTGTTATCAGCACCCAGATCTCTGACAAGGAGTTTTGCTGAGATGTTCGCTTTGAGAGCGAGTGCAGATTAACACCTCAGTGAGAGCGACCCCCGGAAGAAGTGCGTTTGTTAAAGTCTTTAAACAATTGTGTGCAGCTGCTTCAGCATCAGCTCTCCTTTTACAATACCATGCGGTACGACACTTGGCATGGGAGGGGAAGCGCTTCTGGCAGCGGCTCTTGATTGTAACTCTACATGTTTGTTCCCCCATCTCTGTCTACGTGTGGATTGAAGCCCTTTATGACAAGAAAACTAAATTCAAAAAGAAAAGAGAAAAATAGCAGAACACAGAGCTGCCATCCCTGCTGCCACTTTGCTTCTCGTCTTTGACTGTTTTGTTTCATTTTTAGTGGCCCGTTTTGTAGGAGCTTAGTGCATACGAAGAGATCCTCGGCCAAACCCTGCCACTCTTAATCTGAAAACCAATGAGTAAAATTAGGGAAGAAACTGTTTTATTTGGTAGATAAATGAGATATGGGTTTAGGAAACTGCATATATTAGGTAAAACTAATTCATTACTCAAATGTACGGTTCTACTTATACATTTGCATGAAGGACAAAAAACTTGAATTTACTCTGGCTTTTTAAATCCACGCAGTTTAGGAATCATTGTCCTGTTGGAACACCAAACTGTGTAAATGTTTCAACCATTTCATCCAAACCATTGCCCTCATGCTGTAGCAAATTGGTCTACGGTTTAGAAATATGCACATGTGTGTGCATGGTTGTGTGTCTCTGTGTTGCCCTGTGATACACAAGGGTGTAGCCTGCCTTTCGCCCATAGACTGGACAGGCACCGGCCCCACTGGGACCTGGACGTATAAGCAGAAGATGATTAAGATGTCCAAAAAGACACAAACCATTAAGGCTCTGGTCACAGAAAAACAAGTTGAACACCAGCATGGATTGAGATCTTTAAGAGAGGTTGGCTTATTTGGCCACAGTGATCAGATTTTATTCAAACTTGTTTAAGGAAAGTGCTCTCCAAATATAAGCCATTGTCAAGAGAGAATCCACTGGATCAGGTGTGTTGTAAGATAAAACTCTCCTATAGGGTTCTCCCTCTCCCACATGTAGGTTTGTCTGTTTATGTCTCCTTAGTCTTTACTGAAGCACAAAAACGCCAAACCATGTTTTAAGCCCATCAGAGGCTCTGATTCTCTAACAGACATGTCCGTATTTGAACACCCACACCTCTTCATGCTATTTTTGACAATATCAATTTCTACGCCGACATGGTCCTGCTTGATACACACATTTGTGTCTATTCCAATCGAAATCCCCAGACAAAAAGACAGGTTTTCTTTTTTCGAGTCTAAGAGACAAAATACAGGGTGGGGAGAAGACCAAGAAGGCAACCGTTAACCTAGGGCATGGTATTAAGGCTGCCAAGTAGGTCTATAGGTGACAAATAAAGGATCTTTTCCCATAAAACTACACATGGGAGATATGATGCACAATTTAAGCCAGGGGTCTCAATCTGAAATCCTAAAGAGCCAGTATCCTGCAACTTATAGTCATGTCCCTGGTCCAACACACTTTAAACAAATGAGTAATTTACCCTCCTCCCAGCAGGCAGCCAAGTTCTCCAGAGTCCTGCTAATGATCTAATTATTTGATTCAGATATATTAAAACTGAAAAACATCTTAACAGTGGCAGGACATTGGCCCTCTGGGATTGGAGTTTGACATGCGTGATTTAAAGGATTGGTACCTTCAATCGATTAGTTGCAAAGAAGTTGAATCGCTTATTGCCTGCTAAAAGGCCTTAGTGATGTCTCCCTGACAGATTCCCAACCAAGGCGTTTTAAGTGTTCAAATAAAAGTCAGTGAGAAGGATTACAACAAGATCTGTTAATCTAAGGAAAGCCCCAGGATCAGATTGGATACTTGGTAGAGTATTAGAGTGGGCTAACTCGCTAGTCAAGGTGCTCACCAAGATATTTAATCAGTTTCCTCCTTGCATGAAATCTGTAGCCCCAAAACCCTCACAGTGACAAACGTGGACCAGTAGATGTGACGCCTGTAGTCATGAAATGCTTTAAGAAATTACATAAACTCAAGACCAGCATCCCACCAGTTGCATAGTTGCACAATGCACAGCCCATCCAGGGACTTAGAACACCCTGGAAACCACATCTGGATGCAGGATGTGATCATATTCCTCATCAACCCTCCACACAAGCAACAGTTCCCCACAGGACTGTGTGTTGAGCCCACTTCTCCAAACATTGTACACTTATTCCTGTTCACCTGCCCACCCTAGCAACTAAATTATCATTTGTGCTGATGATAAAACAGTGGCAGTGTTTGCTAGTAGAGGTGATGAAGCTGCATACATGGATGAGGCGAGGAAGCTGTTTATGTTGTGCTCTCTGAATAATCTATCACTAGATAAACAAGAGTAATAGTGATAGACTTCAGGAAAACGAGAGAGGAACCAGACTCTAAATTAATGGAGTCACACTGGAGAGATTCTCCACTTTTAGGCTACTGGAGATTCACATCACGGACAACCTGACCTGGATTGTCAACACTCAGTCAACTCAGCAGAGACTTCCCTTTTTCAAACTGATAAAGAAAGTGGACTTGAAGAGGAAGTGGCCGGTTACTGTTTTCCATCCTCTTATGGAAAGTTTTTTTTGCTTAACAGTTGATATGCAAGCTTTACAGATACAGACATCAAAGCCTGACCAATGGAATAAAGGTTTTTGGTAACTCTCAGTCTTACCTGGATCACCTCTCCCATTTTTAAGGTATTCACAGAACTAAGAGAACTCTCCAGGATTCCTCTTAAAACTCTCTGTTCTCCTTCATGCCCAAACAGAAGGACAGCGGCCTGAAGAGCAGAACATAATATCTGGGAAACAGCTTCTATCCTTGGGCATTAAGGGCTTGAGTCTCTCTTTTAACAATCTGTCAGTATAAATATTACCTTCAGCTAAAGAGAAAGTTTTATGCACAAAGGATGTGTTATTCATAACTGAATTTAAGACATTAATGTATTGTGTTGCTTAGATCTGCTTTGTTTTTTAAGTGATGTTATGGCTGATGCCCATTTTATTCCTTATATTTTTGTATGGAATAAAAAAAATCCAATTCAGTTCAAAGTAAGGCTTCCATATTTTAAACTGTGAAGCATGGCTGTGGCCATGTCATCATAGGGGGTTGCTTTAATTCTCACATTACTGGTACCTTGCATAAAAAAGGAGGTGGGGAGATGATAGGTACTGCCTTTATATTCAACCGAGGACAGATCAGGATGCTAGTGGTTTAAACTTGCACTAAAATAGGTGCTCCAACAGGAAAGTGACCCCAAATGACTTATTAAAAACTATACTCAAAGAAAGAGACACAAATAATTTAGAGTAGCTCCATTTCTACAAACATTGATTATAAAATATCTAGTCAGAATTATTATGAGTCTACAGATGGCTACAAAAAGATTAGTTTTCTCCTCAAATTTCTCTTCTAATTTGACCAAATACCAGCGGGAGTGTATGGGTCTATTTAGCCTGTATATAGAATATGAATCTGTTGGTCAATAAAGAAAGGCAAGTTTTATATGAAACACTTGATATTATAAGGGAAAAAAATACAATGAAAAGCTCGAAATGAATACGGTATGTCCTTCATGCCAATGATAAGTACGTTAATCCCTGATTGGAACTGTTGTTGGGATCAAGTAAGAGGCTGGAAAACTAGTAAAATCCTCCCAATACTCAGTTCTTTCTTCTCAGTTCACAGAGGATGCATATTGAAGGTATCCAACATCAGGTGCAGCATATTTTTAGCTTCAGTTTAAGATTAATTTACACTCACTGGCTATTTCACTACCTGCCTTTCACTGCTCGCTGACATAAACTCTTGATGACAATATGATTGATAACTAACACAGAGAAAGCAGAGGATATCACAGATGCCAATACGCACACAGACAACTGACCTTGTTCACACCACCGAGTTTAGCTCTACAGATTATTTTTTTTTTTCTTAAATAGCACAGCGTTGACATCTATACAGTGAACAACACCGCCAACTTGCCACGTACACGTCACGTTACGCGCTACCCCACTGTACGCGCCTAGTCACTAGAAAAAAAGCTATCAGACTTCAATAATAAGCCACTTTTGGTACAATTGCAAAAGAGATGTCACGGGATTTTTTTTTTTATTCATTTTCTTTTTCTGTATTTCTATAAACGATGGAGTTTAATCTACCAAGTAATAAAAACCATGAACTCAATGATAGACAAAGTATCCTACCTTTTAACGATTCAAACAGTAAAGCTTGTGTAAAGACTCTCTTCTGGAAATATCTGACAGAGATGTTAAGAAGTAATTACAAAAAAACGCAATATATATATATATATATATATTATTTTTTTTAAAGAAACCAACATATTTTCCCCATGACCATAATGAGTTTTCTCACGAATCGTGAGGGTATTACTGTAATAACATTCAGGTTTTCTGATATCGTAGCAGAATCTTGTCATATTGGAATGGCACTTAGCTCTGGAATCATACCGCTAAGATAAATAAACAAGATCTCTTTATTTTTTCCCCAAGTGTGTTTTCAGTGCATACATATATTATTGCATCTACCAGTCATGTCGATAATGACAACTTCACTGAAGCCTTTCATGAATGCATAAATGGAAATGAACACTAGGTTTGTCAGCATTGTTTTATGCCTATATCACTGAGAGACACCTAACACCAAAACAAAACAAACAGAAATATCACAAATTGGACTAAAATAGCTAGTTTTGGGTTAGTTAAGTTGTTTTTGAAGACTTCTGTAGCATAAGGACCAATAATGTGACCTTTTATTATTGATCCAAGTCAGTGCAGAATAACAAGCGAGAGGGCCTAACATGATAGTATTTGATTGACTAAGTCTTTTGAAAAAAGAAAGAAGTAAAGAGGGTTTTTTCACAGGTAGGGACCACCTCTGAGACTTTCTTTTGAATTAAAAAGTAGAAGACCGCTGTGTTGCATTGCTAAGAGTGAGTCCGGAAGCATTTATGTGTGTTAAGGTACAACTGAATAAACAGGAGACCCTGCATCATGTTAAAATGCACTGACGAGTTCAGGCGAGAAAATCTTCCCTCTGCCTGCTCTGCTACTACGACCTGGCCTCCGTTTTGGATTTGACGATGGTGATGACGCTGGTGGCAGCTACTTTACCGGGGATGAGGGGCCCTATCACAGAGGCCATAGGTCCCCTTCCTGTAGTGACAGGGCTGCGGGCCACAGTCCTTGCAAAGCTCTGCAGGGCTTCGTACTTTGAGCGCAGAGCATCTAGCTCCACCTTCATGCTGGCATTCTCTGTCACTAGCTTGTCCACTTCCTGTTGCAGCTGGGCCTTTTGTTTTTCAAGCTCCTCCTTCTGGGTGACCCGCTTAACCCTGCAGCTAGCCGCATAGCCACGATTCTTCAGGGTGCGGCGTCGCTGCTTTAGCTGTAGGATCTCTTCTTTAGAGAGCCCCCGTAAATGCTGATTCAGTTCACGGACTGACATGGTGACCAGCTCATCGTCCGTAAGACTGGTGCCGTTTTCCCCAGGCTCCCGCTTTACCTGCAGAGATAAATTGATTAGAAATCGTTTGACTTTAAAATATAAAAATGTCCAAGTCATTATAAGAACTAGAGGTGGGCAATATAGCAATATTAGATTGAGGAGGGTGGGCAATTATCATTCTCTATTATTACTAAAAGGCCAAATAAGCAGCTTTGTGTGATGGTACAGGCTGGACCATTAGCTGAACACAATAGAAAATATACAATTGACCATCTTTTGTGGACAGTAGACATTGCATCTGAACAATAAAATGTGACCCACCATCCTGAGAACTGAAACGTTATACTTGTAACTCTCGGAAGTTCCTTCATTTTGTGCTCCACCCGTGTCCCTTGGACACAAAAAAATATTCTTTTAAAGTTTGACATAGAAATGCTTTAACAGTGAATATGTAACAACAAAATTTTGCTATTTCAAAAAAACAAAAAAGATATGTAATTGTTAAATATAGTTCTCATTCTGTATGAGAAATATTTTGCCTTTTCCTAATCCTTGACAGATTTAGCCAATAGCCTCATTTACACTACCCCCTGAAACCGATCCGTGGCAAGTTCAGACAAAGCTTGGATCAGTTAACCGTTACGACCGTTTACATATCACGCTAGCACGGTTTCTCGCCACCTAGTGAATATCTACGGGCCTACTACTCTCTGGGATTGAAGGAGAGAATCAAATACATCAAAATGGCAGTGCCCGTAACATTCAGGAAGTTTGTTTGATTATAATTGCGATATTTCGCAGCCTTTGGTGAATTTACTTGACATGGTCGGCTTTTGGGAAATGGATACAACAAACGATAGTCTAATCAGGACATACAGACGCAGGAAAGAACGACAGACGTTGAGGTTCTTCACACTGCTAAGCAGAATCATCACTGCAAATCATGTGGCACGGTTGGGAAGCTAGTATTTTTATGAATGTCTTAAGCAACGTCGGTAAGCAACTTAGTGATGTGCATTACGGCCAACTACTGGAAGCTGAGTGTAAATAGAGATGTTGCGGCCTGCTCATGCGCTCTTTGTTATCAGAGAACCGAGCCTCATCCGCGCTAAGCCCTACTGTTGAAGTAGTACTAGTTTAGCACAAATTCGGTTGTGTCAGACATGGTTCGTTTCAGTTTGTGGCCATTTTCACTCTACAGTTGTCTCGGTCCCTGTGTACGGACCTCTCTTGCTACGGTTCCAAAAGCGTAGTGTAAATGGGGCAATTATTTGCTAAAATAGTATAAGAAAATAAAACAATTCCAGCCCAAATACATGTTATGCTTTTAGGGGGGGTGGTGTAATCAATATAAAATCTGGAAGCAACCTCGAGTCGGATCAATCTTTGCTTCTTGTGCAAATAAAATAAAAAAAAAACATGTAAAAATATACATTTTGGTAGAAACCTTTTATTGGAACATATGTGTCTCAAGTTTAAGAAAAAATATGAATTTAAAACTAAATGATAACAAAACTATGGAAACCAAATAGTAAAGATGGTGCATTGAAGAGTGCTTTTTAAATGAAACAATCCAAATAAATTGCAAAACAAACAAGGATAACTATTAAGATAAAAAAAATGAGAAAAATATGTAAAATTAAAATTCAATAAAATTACCAAATGGAAAATCCCATTAAGAAAAATTGTTTATCAAATGATTGTCTTTACCTTTAAGGCCTTGTTTCCTTTGTTTATGGTATTCATGCCACAAGAGCAGCGTCCACCTGAACTGCTGAGTGTTCTGTGAAAAGCCATAATCATCAATTAAAAACAATTAGTGAAACAATTAGGAAATCGTTTTAATAAAAAAAATATATTTCTGGCAAATAGGCTGCAGCATGAGCTTGACCCAAAAATTTTAAGTAGGTCAAGGACTTCAGGCATCCTTCTCTGTAATACTAAGGGTGTTGAAATAGCGCAGTCTTTCTGCAGAACAAACAAATCATTTGAAGGCGTTTCTGCTTCCAGCACAGGTCAGCTTGAATTTAAACAACATATGCAATTAAGAGAAAGGAAGTTGAAGCTTCTGTGTTGAACGATGATAAGTCACATGCAATATGTCGTTTCACTGGCTGGAAGCCCTTAGCCATATCTAGGAAAACAGAGCTGTTACTTCTCCTCTGTAAACACGGCAGCAAGCTACCAAGTCTAGACAGTCACACCTGTCTTGGAATCACAGCAGCTATAATCCCACAAATCAATAAATAGACGTAACTAGTGCAGAGCCCAGAATAACCAGGCTGCAATGCAGTTTGATTCTGTTGTGTAAATACAGAGGGAACACCCAGATAAGGTAAGCAGGTGAGAAAACTAACCAAGGGGTGTGAAGACAGAAGGTCGAATGCTATCCATTGGGTGATCTCTTTTAAAAGGCAAGACACAAAACACACACATACAGAGTAACGGCTCTGGGATTTTTGCTCTGCATGCGATAAATGCTGTGTCAGCGACACCCACCAGAGTCTGCCCACCCAGCACATTGCCTCTCTAAGCTGATTTACAAAGCCGGGAGTGTGTTACTACAGAGCACATAAACAAACACATGCTGGATTTTTTTATATTTTTTTTCAGACGGGATCATGTTAGATAAAGAATTGAACAAAGTGCTACAGCTACTGTTGAAGTGTGCATGTGTGTGTGTTTATGGCCTCTAAGCACATTAAGCCAGCCACTGTGTGAAGAAAGCTCTGTGAGGTAAGACAAGGAAAAAAAAAAACAGATGAGTCGCAGCTCTGGAGTGCACTTTAAGAAGGACAGGATATTACCATGGCAACAAAAGGAGAGCTACAGGTGGACCGGTCACCTGAGCCAAACAGGGAGAGACAGACGCTTGTTAAAAATGACCTAAATACGACACAATTGTACAGGCTGGGGACATAACATGAGGTCAGATTGTGACTGGAATTTTTTGAAGCTTTTCACTCCAAAGAAAAAAAGTCCTCTGGCTCCTCATAAAAAAACAAACAAAAACAAAACAGCAATGCTACACTTTGATGTAGATTTAGATATAAAAAAAAAAAAAGCATTCCCCCACACCCCCCGCCTTCAGTGGACTTTTTAAATGTGCCGTTTTCACTCCTGATGGTCTGGCTATGAATAGTCGCCTGATAGTAACACCTACTTTTTACAGGCCTTTGTGGTGACTCATTTCCAGTAAGCATTTGGAGCACAGATGCAAAACATAATGGGATAATGGTCCATCTGATGATGCACAGATAATGGACAAATAGACAGGAAAGCAAGAGGCTAATGGCTATTGGGAATCACAGAAAAAAAGAGCTACAGATGCACTGATCAGGCTTTTCCCAACCAATAACAATTTATTTTTTTTATCTCAAGACCGATTACTACTTTGACCTACTAACAATTATTAATTACAGTTACTTATATTGTATTATTTTTAATAAACTACATATATATATAAATACATGGGGTAGATGATCTATTCAAAGACCTTAATACAAGGAAATTAACAAAAAGTGCAATTTATAAATCAGGTGATCAATGTCTGCTTGCATTATCTGGAAGCTTTGATTTGAAAGCTGGGTAATTTAATGAGAGACCAGAGAAAGTGCAAGAATATAGAGAACTTTCTACATTTATCATCCCTCCACTCCCTGTTCCTGCACACTGCCAGTCAATTGCCTAAAGGGGACTGAGGTCAGCATGGCTGAAATGCATCATATGCATTGATAATGCATCATATTAGTTGATATTTATGATTATTGATTAGTTGTTTGTTTCGCCTACTTGAAGGAACCCAAACCATATTTAAACTTAACCTTTAAAAAGAGGTCAGACCTACCGCCAACACTGGCTTGCCTTGGCTGTGAAAGGTTAAGAGGCTGAATCCTTCCCTCTGCCTACATCCCCCAGAATCCTGTGGTTCTGCATCAGAGTTCTGTGATTTAATAGAACATCCTAATGGAACTAATGTTTATATTGATCAGGGGTCTATTTGCAATATATATATATATATATTTATTGTTTTATTGCTTAACAATAATAGGATTTTACATATGATGGTTTTAAAACATCTTTGGAAACATAAAGAGCACCTCTATCATTTTAATCCAACTATTTCTTCTTTCATCCTGTTTAATAACCTGGAAAAAAACAACATAAAAAAATTAGAAAATTAATTTCCTTGAGTAATACTGGAGGGATGTTTCAACTTATAGTTATCTGGTAATTAACATAATCAACATAATTACAACTGTAAAATGATTATTGTTATAATAATAATACTAATTATTATTAATACTAAATTGGAGAGAATAAAAACATTTTTGTTAAAGAGAAACAATAGGATTATGCTATACATCATTTCTCTTTTATCTTAATTTAAATAAGTTGTACCTATGAAATTGGGGTATTTTTAGACAAGGTTATCATAAAGCGGGAACCTCACATCGGGTCATGCCTATTAAAGATGCACGTTCCGTCACAGCTGTGCGAAGGCATGGTTTAGCATTCTGAAAGCTCACCATATGACACCGTGGAAAGACTGCGACCAGGCTGCAAGCCTCCAGCACAGGCTACTGCCAACAGACGGCTAGCAGTGACAGGGCATGGCAGAACAACACAGACAAGGTCCAATGCACAGCTGCTCCCTTCCACTGCCGGGCACGTCATACCTCACAGAGACAAAGAGGCATCCACACAAACGAGAGAGAAAGCACACCTACAATTTTCTGCAGAAATGACAAGGAGCTGACAGAGGTGCTCAAGTCAGTTATTTAATTGTGACAGGATGGTTTTAAGTCCAATTATTCAAAGAAAAAAACTAAATTCCTGCAGCATATCGCCCGGCATTAATAATTCCAGGCCTCTAGTGAGCGTCTAGCCATAGGAGCAGTGGGTGAGATCTGCAGCTAAGAGCGCAGGGGGCATTGCAGATAGGTGCGCAGACATCTTTTGTGGATGCTTGCTGAATTTTTATGAATCGCCCAGAAGAACGCTGACAAATCATGGCTGATTGCTTGTGGAGGAGAGACATCACACCCACAGGAAATAGAAAAATGCTGAGGGTGGTCACCCATAGAAAAGAAATGGGGAGAGACAGACTGAGTGGGAGAGAGAGAGAGAGGAAAAGAGAGGACGAGATGAAAAGAAAGAGACGAAAAAGCCTTGTGTAAAATGCGTGGTCTGCACATTTAGAGGTGCCTGAGTAGTGCAGGTTGAGTTAAAAAAAAATACTGATCTCAGCAAGGACCAAAACCAAGGTGCCAATTAGAAGTTGTGAAGTTGAGCCAACAGAATAAGAGCAGGCCAGTCAGCCATCAGAGGCTGTCTTTGTTCCTCCAGATTTACAAAGGTAGGCTCAGGTTCGTACTCAAGAATGATGAGGAGAAAAAAAAAATTATCTGCTGTCATAAAAGCTGATGTAACATGATAGGTCTGGCCTTGAGCCAGCGGCATTCCTTAAAGATCTCGTCCCCTTCACAGGACCTCCCCAAGGGTGATGCCAAGGATGAACACCATTAGCTGGGGGACTTTTTGTTGATGGGGATCTGGAGCTGAGGCTCCAGTGCGCTGCGTCCCTATGATGAATATTTATCACTGTCGTTTACAGCCTGAAACCTGGGGGGTGGGAGAGGGCGTACCGGGGGTTTGGAACGTGAATAGAGATAACTCAGGAGGTGATTCTTCAAGGATACATCCAAGGCTCTTCTATCAACAACTGTCTCAAAATGGCGGCAGGCTGCTGGGGGCAGGGTGGAGGTTATATTTCTGGCGACTGAAGGTGGAATGCATGGTGGTTCAGGTCTGCAGGGAGAGCCATTTCCACCTGACAGCACTATAACGAGATTATCAGGGCTATAAGAGCGAACCAAAACCCCCAGAAACCTGACTCAGAATCCAGATTACAGCAGCACCTGCTGCCTGAATACTAAACAAGGCTGGGAAGGACTAACAGGTTGCTGAGCAAAGGTAGCGGATTTCACATCACCTAAAAACAAGCACGTTTGCAAAGAGAGAGAAAACAACCACACAAGAACAAACATATAATAGATGCTACATTTTAGCTTCCAAACACTTGGCTCTGGTTGATGATACAGTCAATAAAAGTATGCAGGAGATGTTGAAGACAAAAGACGTATTGTTACCTAAGCCTGCCCATTTGTTTCTTTAGGTTATTAATCACTGTAGTAAATTTAGCAAATATTAATAACAATACTCAAACTTTAATATCTAATAAATCTATTTAATATCTAATAAAAAGTAATCACATACCATTCACAAAGGAATTTTATTCAACCACATTTCATCTGAATACGCTTCCTCCGTTTGGACAGATTGAGGGATTATGGATTAGATATGATCCCGATGTTGGTTATCATCTCAGCACAAATTACTTACATACTTTTGGGACTTATTTTGTAGTGTGAAATTTTAAAACATCAAATGATACAACGCAGAAAAAAACATAAAACAACTGACCTGTGTATTATTAACAAATGAATGGCAGAAACCTAATAGAAGCGAGTAGATAAAAAAAGGCAAGTTTAAAAATACGGTTTTATGGCAAACAAAGGCTAAAAATTATAAAGAAAAATTTGTAAAATAAAATAAACATTTATATGAATTGAAGAAGAATTATTTTGCCTTCCTATCAAAATGAAAATTTTTACAAATGAGCTAGACTTACTGACACAAGCTGAGCCACGTTTACCCACTGGTACAAACGAAACATTTACACACCAGTATGCAGATCAGTGGGTAATTTTGGATTAACTG